CTATGTATCTCCCTAATTATCTATCTATCTGACTGACTATCTAATTGCTATTTTATGCTCCGTTAGACGGACATATTGGCGAGAATATCAGTTTTGTACATTATTTCGTTCTTTTTACCATCTTATTTATGAGGATGAATTGTATAGGCCTATGCCAATATTATTGAAGAACATCTTTCATTCTTTTTGGAATTATGTGTTAATTTGCATTTCTGTTTGCAGGATCGATCAAACGTGTGTTCGTGTAGGCTGTTAATTGTAAGACTTGCTTTGTGAAGTCTTCGTGTTATTTATGAGAGGCAGTATTGCCATTTATTTTTACACAACCGTCTACAGTTTCACACACTTTTTTACGTGTTTTTTCCAACTGCTGACGGTGTCGCTATTTCTCATTTCACCCGTTTTTGTGCGTACGCCTGGGCGTCAGAGCTTGCGTGAAGGACCGCACATTTTACCATCAAGTTTGCTTTTTAAAAATACCAACTATTGCGTAGAGAGCGGCGTACGCCTTCTTTTGTGCGTACGCAACTTTATAAATGAGGCCCCTGGACATGAATTCAAATTTGACTGCATTGGATCGGACACCTACAGATGTTGACGGTCAAAGTGGTGTAGCTACTGTAATGCCAGTTCAATCAGTTAACCAAAATGATGTTGGAGGTTTGATGACTTCAGTAGTGTAAATTAAGTAAACCAACATGTAATTGAAAGGAAATGCTTATGTGTGTTGAGTGAGTGTACTAAACTAAAATGTGACAGGCATGTCGACCTATGAGTTTGGAGAGGCGTAGCTAACCTCTCCTTTCCTTTAATTCATTAGAATAGTCTATGAACTGGAGTACTCATCGACATTTGTTATTCTTCTAAGAGACGTATTTGCATTGGCATTTGCATTTGTAACCCCTCACACCCGGGTCCTACTCGCCACGCTCCGAGCGGGCCTCGAACCCGGGTCTCCGGCGTGAGAGTCAGGCGCTCTAACAAGGAGGCTAAAGACTGCAGCCTCTAGCGTCTGTTGCTAGAGCGCCTATTGAGATCGGGGAGTGAGGTTTACTCGCACAGCAACTACTAGCTGGCCTCCGTTACACTCACCCCCCTAAACCTCACTCTCATCCGGGTCACGGCACCAATGTAACCCCTCACACCCGGGTCCTACTCGCCCCGCTCCGAGCGGGCCTCGAACCCGGGTCTCCAGCGTGAGAGTCAGGCGCTAGAGCGCCTATTGAGATCGGGGAGTGAGGTTTACTCGCACAGCAACTACTAGCTGGCCTCCGTTACACATTCAATGTTATTTTTTTTATATAGAAGTATATATAGATCAGTTACTGATGTTCTTTGTACCTGAGTGTTAATTGATTAGTTGTGGGTGATGTATTATGCCATGATACTTTAATTTTGTTTATTTGCAAGTAAAGTTCAGAAGGGGAGAATGCAACAGCATTATTTATATAAAGTGTGTGTGTCTCCCCTTGCTAATAATGATATGTTAAATAGTCACACTGAAAGATGATTGGATAGAATAAGGGTTAACATGGTTTCCTATTGGCTGGCTATAGTAACTGAACAATTACATATTGTCTTATGCTGAATTATATCAACTCACAATGTTTTCTCAGTGAATACATTGATGGAAGAAGATTTCTTTAAGTACGAGCTTCATTACACAATGCAGAGGGGACAAGAGACCAGCTACAGGTTCACATTTTTAACATTTGGTGGAAACTGACAATTTCCAAAGTCAGTGAAACTCACCTGATAACAGCACAAAGATCGAATCAATCATGATGACAAGCCTCGATGATCACACTGATGCACAACTCAACTGCTCTTTTCAGGGACATCACTTTGTAAAGCTTGTTTCATGAGTGTTTGATAGTGACACATCTGTCGATACTTGTTTTACATTGAAAATAACATTCAAAGAATTTCAGCAGAGATTTCCATGTCCACTTAAATCACACTATCTTTCGCTAGCGATGGATGCAAATCTGGAGCAAAACTGCAGCCTTCTGACATCCTTGCCATATTCGCCATTTATCATTAATGAAATACTTTATTTACCAAAACTGTTGAGCACCATTCTTAACTTTACCAAACTATGTGATAAAGGTAGTTGACATATACTGGAACTTGAAATGTTATGAATGGGGTTAGGGCCAATATACAAAATAACAAAAGTTGAATGTTGAGCACATTGTTGTGGACAACAAAATGTGTTTCATAATCTAACCATTTTGATAAATTATTTTGTGAAAATAAGCGACATCTGGTCTTTGTAGACATGTAAGTTGGGTCCCAATTTAAATTGTAAATTGAGTAGCATTAACTCTTCTCCTCTTATTTCACTATCATTTGAGTATCTCTGCTTTGGTTTAATTGGAATTAACTTACAAAAAATGATTTGCATTGTGTCCTACATGAGAATTCTGAATTAGGGATGAGGTAATAGTCAAAGGAGAAGATGTAGGGAAACAAGTCTCACAAAGCATTATTATACACTCACTAGCTATGATCATGTCACATCATGTTCTGGACTCCCCTTGTATGATTTTGATTTGAACCTTTTGCCTGGCGTCTATGAATTTGGATTACCCCAATAATAAACTGCGCTTGGACCTACCTCTTTGTGTGTAGTGACAGATTTTCTCCACCCAAACGATTTGAGTCTTTCCACATTTTGCTAAAAGCGGTTTGCAATTTTTGGCCGTCTATCTCTCAAGTCTGCGAACGTTCAGATCCTTATCCGTCCTTGTTTACAGTGCAGTTAAATTAATCCAGTGTAAACGAAGAGAGATTGTAGATCTACATCAAGCAGGTTAGTTTAAAAAAAGAGAAGAGAATGGATTACAGACACATGATACTTAACCTTCCATTCATTCATACGATGAAGACAAGCGTTAAGCCAATGCTACACAAGATCTCCATGAAATCCTGCTCAGTCCTAAACATCCAGTGAATATTGGTTTGATTTGTCGAAGCATTGCAAAGTTGAAAGTTAATTAATCGGTCAGGCAACGGCAATTTTTACAGGTTGACCTAACGCTGTTGAACACAATGTCCAAGCTTAACGAAACTTCCAACCACACATCGACAACACGACATTCTGACGATGTACACACCAAGTTTTGTACAATTCTGCCACTAGGGGTCTTTACAACCAAAAATATCATAATAACTCTGCAACCGGATGATCCATGAAATTGAACATTTGCATACATCATCTTTGGTGGACGTCCTAACATATCCTCTAATGTGACTTGTAAGCTTAAAAAAAAACATGGCAACTAGAAGCCAATCAAACTGCTGCGGCTAATTACAGCATATCTGAATGGCCCACCTTTACAAAAAATGGGTAGCCTATGTGTGCTCATTGTGTGTAAATGAACATATGTACCAAATTTTGTGAAAATCTGACACACATACACCACATATATGTTGATCAAACCCCATAAATACCCTTGCTGCTATGTTTTATTTTAATTTAAAAAATCAAATGTATTTAAATTTCTCCTGATAGCCAATATATCTATATCGAGCCACTAAATCAATTTAATTTAGTCTGTCTGTTGTCTTTAGTCTGTATGTATTTTTGGAATCACAGTTGCTGCTCTTCAAGTGCCTGTGGATCTCACTGGGTAAAGTACAACATTCATGCATAGTTTATGACCAGTGGGACACCATTGATGTGTAAACATTAAATCACGTTTTTTGGGCTATATTGCACTTTGCAGACGGTCCCTTCAGATCCATTTAGCCAATATTGTAAAGCTCGTTTTGAGGGAAATTTGGTTTAGGTTGTAGCTACTGTAATTAATATGCATAGTTTGTGTTTTAACAACGTTTAGCTCACGAGTTATTGATCATGAATTTACACTATTAGTTAATAAAATGTTATTAAGGAATTAATACACAATGACACATTGAATTAATAGCAATGTTCATGTTGTATTACTTAATCCATTAATCATGCTGATGCAGTAATCATTAACGAATGGTTCTTTATTAGTTATACATTAATGCATTAGTTAAGCATGAATTAAAGCATATTAGTATTGTAAAGTGTTACCCAATAAATAAATTGCAAATTCACTTCATCACTGGATCTCTGGACTTTTTTTGTTACTTCGTTATCCTAGTTTTGCTTTACAAAACAAATCTTGAAATCTGTGCTTATTTGTGTATGCAAATGATTTCTCAAGAAAGTTGTGATTGACAGGAGTGTCTTGATCTCACTTCGGATGACAGTATTTTGCATGATGCAGATTATTGTTAATATGTCAGTAGTTTCCTCCATCTTGGCCATTCAGATCAATGCTTTACAGTGCCTTTATCATGCAGATTATGTGCGATTTATACGTGACTATTTAAATCATTGAACTCATTTAAATCAGTTTTTTTTTCCCTCAGGGCTTTTACTGATTCAAGAAATGGTGAATGGAGTGGAGGGTAAGCATCTCTTTGCTTTCAAATAGGTCTTGATATTTATTCTATTCTTTTTGTTTGTTCCATACAAGACTGATAATTGTTAAACTTTATTTATACCCTCCCAAAGCATTCCAACTCTATTGCCAATGATCTGACTCTTTTACTGTCAGATTAGTCAGACACATGCATGTGTCTCTGTTGTGAGGATGGTCAGTGTTTGTTTAATTCTAACTACAGGAAGTGGGGAAAATGTTAACAGAAAGTACAAAAAAGTTAGCGCGGAAATGACTCAATTCACTTCAAGTTAGTGTTCATCAATAATCCTGTAGCTCTCAAATCTCATTCACACAAGTGCATGTTCAAACTATCAGTGTCGAGACATGTCAGAACTTCATTCTTTTCCCAGGAAATCTGGCGTTAGATGGAGCCGCTACACAGTCGTCAACATCTGGGAATTGGTTTGCTGGAAAGGCCATTGACGGTAATCGAGGTCTCCAGCAGTTGTACACGGGATGCTCCTCAACCCTCAACTAATTCATAAATTTACATGTATGAATATATCTTTGTTCAGGTCCCGCTTTAAAAAGATCATTTGTAAAAATGCAGTTTAACTCCATCAATGATTTGACTGACCCTTCAATGAGAGAAAATGTTCTGAAACAGGTGAGAGAAAGAAACCAATTCAACCTTAAAGAGCTACTGGTATGTTGCAGTAATCATGGCAATTAAAGTTTGTTTGAGGCATTTCTTTGAGATTTGAGCATTATCAGCATATTCTGAGGCTGACTTTAAAACGTTCTGACCAGTCTTGAAGAAGAAATGAGAGAACTGACTTGTAAGACTAGTTCAAGCAGTTTATGCATCTGGCCACTGTTCTAATCATTTTAGTATGAATGTTATTTTCAGTTGGGATCTGCTCTTGCTGATAGAGGATTCACAAATATGACACTGAGATGGACTCAAACTCCTGAACGGGTGATCCAGAGGAACAATGCTAAACGTGAGTCTTAATGACTTATAAAATAAGCTGCACAAATAGGAATGTTCAATTGGTAAGAGATGTAATAAGCAAATGTTTTATTTACAGGTCGTTGTGGTTAAAGAAAATTAACACTCTGGAGATCAACACTTTCTTCAATTCACTCAATTCATATTCGAGACAATGAATCTGATACTAAATACATTGGCGGAAATATCTTCATAATTATGTGTTTACAATATAAAGACTCTTAAAGGACTTCTGCTTGCTTTCCCAGTAGCACATCATTGTAGAACACAAAATCCAGGGGGCGGAGTTTGATCCAGTTCTAAGGGTTCAGGGGGCGGAGATGGGTAGGATTTGGGGTGGGGTTAGAGATCAGGGGGCGGAGATGGGTAGGATTAGGGGTGTGGTTAGAGATCAGGGGGCAGAGATGGGTAGGATTAAGGGTGGGGTTAGAGATCAGAGGCAGAGATGGGTAGGATTAAGGGTGGGGTTAGAGATCAGAGGCAGAGATGGGTAGGATTAAGGGTGGGGTTAGAGATCAGGGGGCGGAGATGGGTAGGATTAGGGGTGGGGTTAGAGATCAGGGGACGGAGATGGGTAGGATTAAGGGTGGGGTTAGAGATCAGAGGCAGAGATGGGTAGGATTTGGGGTGGGGTTAGAGATCAGGGGGCGGAGATCAGAGGCAGAGATAGGTAGGATTTGGGGTGGGGTTAGAGATCAGGGGGCGGAGATGGGTAGGATTAAGGGTGGGGTTAGAGATCAGAGGCAGAGATAGGTAGGATTTGGGGTGGGGTTAGAGATCAGGGGGCGGAGATGGGTAGGATTAAGGGTGGGGTTAGAGATCAGAGGCAGAGATAGGTAGGATTAAGGGTGGGGTTAGAGATCAGAGGCAGAGATAGGTAGGATTAGGGGTGGGGTTAGAGATCAGGGGGCGGAGATGGGTAGGATTAGGGGTGGGGTTAGAGATAAAGGGGTGGAGATGGGTAGGATTAAGGGTGGGGTTAGAGATCAGGGGGCGGAGATGGGTAGGATTTGGGGTGGGGTTAGAGATCAGAGGCAGAGATAGGTAGGATTTGGGGTGGGGTTAGAGATCAGGGGGCGGAGATGGGTAGGATTAAGGGTGGGGTTAGAGATCAGGGGACGGAGATGGGTAGGATTAAGGGTGGGGTTAGAGATCAGAGGCAGAGATAGGTAGGATTAAGGGTGGGGTTAGAGATCAGAGGCAGAGATAGGTAGGATTAGGGGTGGGGTTAGAGATCAGGGGGCGGAGATGGGTAGGATTAGGGGTGGGGTTAGAGATAAAGGGGTGGAGATGGGTAGGATTAAGGGTGGGGTTAGAGATCAGGGGGCGGAGATGGGTAGGATTTGGGGTGGGGTTAGAGATCAGAGGCAGAGATAGGTAGGATTTGGGGTGGGGTTAGAGATCAGGGGGCGGAGATGGGTAGGATTAGGGGTGGGGTTAGAGATCAGGGGACGGAGATGGGTAGGATTAAGGGTGGGGTTAGAGATCAGAGGCAGAGATTGGTAGGATTTGGGGTGGGGTTAGAGATCAGGGGGCGGAGATCAGAGGCAGAGATAGGTAGGATTTGGGGTGGGGTTAGAGATCAGGGGGCGGAGATGGGTAGGATTAAGGGTGGGGTTAGAGATCAGAGGCAGAGATAGGTAGGATTTGGGGTGGGGTTAGAGATCAGGGGGCGGAGATGGGTAGGATTAAGGGTGGGGTTAGAGATCAGAGGCAGAGATAGGTAGGATTAAGGGTGGGGTTAGAGATCAGAGGCAGAGATAGGTAGGATTAGGGGTGGTGTTAGAGATCAGGGGGCGGAGATGGGTAGGATTAGGGGTGGGGTTAGAGATAAAGGGGTGGAGATGGGTAGGATTAAGGGTGGGGTTAGAGATCAGGGGGCGGAGATGGGTAGGATTTGGGGTGGGGTTAGAGATCAGAGGCAGAGATAGGTAGGATTTGGGGTGGGGTTAGAGATCAGGGGGCGGAGATGGGTAGGATTTGGGGTGGGGTTAGAGATCAGAGGCAGAGATAGGTAGGATTTGGGGTGGGGTTAGAGATCAGGGGGCTGAGATGGGTAGGATTAAGGGTGGGGTTAGAGATCAGAGGCAGAGATGGGTAGGATTTGGGGTGGGGTTAGAGATCAGGGGGCGGAGATCAGAGGCAGAGATAGGTAGGATTTGGGGTGGGGTTAGAGATCAGGGGGCGGAGATGGGTAGGATTAAGGGTGGGGTTAGAGATCAGAGGCAGAGATAGGTAGGATTAAGGGTGGGGTTAGAGATCAGAGGCAGAGATAGGTAGGATTAGGGGTGGGGTTAGAGATCAGGGGGCGGAGATGGGTAGGATTAGGGGTGGGGTTAGAGATAAAGGGGTGGAGATGGGTAGGATTAAGGGTGGGGTTAGAGATCAGGGGGCGGAGATGGGTAGGATTAAGGGTGGGGTTAGAGATCAGAGGCAGAGATGGGTAGGATTTGGGGTGGGGTTAGAGATCAGGGGGTGGAGATGGGTAGGTTTAGGTATTTGTAAGGTTCCCTGGATTTCGTATTCTGGGCTGTCTCTGCTTTCCTGTTACTGTTATTCAAATATCTAAGAATTTTATAACACCATGTGTAATTGTGTTTTGTCAACAATCAGACATAGGAATAAATGTAATGAAAAAAGTAAATACAGTAAATGTCAAATTTACGTAACACGTAATCACGTAATCATTTGTTTTGTTTTTAGTGGTTGTGTTAGTTATTTTGTTAACTGCTCTGATTAGCTTTATCTTGCAATTTTTACATACTGTTGTCTTTTTATGTATTTTATGGAAAGCGCTTTGTGCACCTTTCTGGGTGTTGTAATGGCGATACATAAATAAAGATTGAATTGAATTGAAAATTTACATTCACACAATCCACAAGTTGTTACGATCCGTTTCAGGTCTGGAAGGAAAGGAAGGTACACTGTAATAAAATATTGTTGGTTTAACTTAAAAAGTAAGTAGCCTGGTTGCCTTAACATTTTTAAGTTGATTGAACTGGAAAAAGTGAGTTCAGACAATGAAGGAGATTAATTTAATCATCAGAAACTCAAAATAATAAGTTATCTCAACTACATAAATTATTTAAGTCGATTTGATAAAAGAAAATATGTTGTGATAACAAATCTTGAAAATATATTTTTTACAGTGTAACAAAAGAGAGTTTCAGTGAGAGAGTGAGAGATCTCCCGTCTCCAGGTCCCAAGACAAGCACAAATTACAAGGACACCAGTTTATAAAGTCAAAAGATTTCACAAGTTTTATTTTTTCATTATCAGTGGGATATAAAGACAGAACTTCAGGAGTGGAAACGGCCTAATATAACAAACAAAAGAAATCCTTCATAAGGGTTTTTAGAAATAACTTACCTATCATCAAACATAAAACACTTCCTATCTATATAAAACAGGAGAAAACACAAATGCTCAAATAAATTGGTATCCACACCCCTCCAAATTATCCCACTAAAGATACAACCAAACATTAAATTAACTTATAAGAAAAAACAATCCAGTAAGATGATGTCAACTATAAACACAACATTGCCACAAAATAGTGCTGGTAAATTCCAAACACTGCTTCATGAAGCAATTCGAAGCCTTTACAAATCGTTTGTTCCGAATCAATGGTTCGGAGCGTATCAAACTGCCAGAGTCATGTGGTTTCAGTAAACGAGGCTTCATTAGTATAATTAAAATGAATAATGGTAGTTAAGGTGTTTTTGGGGTCCTTGACATGTCCTGACATTTGTGCTTTTTCAGTTGCTTATAAACATATTAATAGTGCAGGTGAAATTACACTCTATTTAGCACAACCAGGGCTACCATAATATATGAGCAACATGTATGTAAATGTTTGTCTTTTTGAGAGAATATTGTTAATGCTAGGTTATTGAAAAAAACAACAACTATAAAATGTGTTTTATTTGGCATATTAACGTGGTGTAACAATAACTATAAAGACAAAGACAAGACTGTGAGAGACTTCTCCCCAGTAATCCGCTTAAATGAGTGAATAATGTGTCACACAAATATGTTTAGTTAGTTAAGTGCTAATGTTTTTTTCCCTCAGTTTTTAAACACAAGTTGGTTTAGTGTTATTCATCTGGTACTTCTTTTGGAAGACGTTCCCATTGGACTGGGTTCTGAATGAAAGTTTAGCATATTGTGCCAAACCCTTCTCCTTCAGTGTCCGCTCCATCTGAAGAACAGAACGAGACTTTGTAATCTCCATTCTTGTTCATTCTCTTGCAAATTAGAAACAATTCCAAGTGAGTTTCTGGTGACGTGTGTGTGTGTGTGTGTGTGAGAGACTCACCTTCTCCAAAATCTCCTTCATCACCACAGGATCATTCACATTTTGTCCCGATTTCACCTCTACTCTAATTACCTGTCTCTTCTTCTCTGCGGGACACACACACACAGAGTCATTTTGCAGTAGTAGAGGAAAATGACTTGAAATGAAATTACTCAATTAATAAGAAATGTCTGGAAATGCTTTAGATTAAAGCCTGCAAAGTACAAATTTACAGCGTAACGTTCGGTAATTATAGTGTATAGTACTTACATGTTAGTGTAAGGAAACAATATCAACAACCAGGAGAATTAACTAATTATATACAGTGTTATTCTTTTACAACCAATGTTTTCTTATTCTACTATTAATCTTACATTTGTAATAATAATGTAGCAATACATATAGTTTTTTTTTTCAATTAAAAGGTTCATATCTGTGCATTTATACTTTTAACAAGAGTGTTACTGCAACTTTTGCTGAAATACTACTGGGGAGATGTACTCTTTTTCCATGTTATTTTAAGGTGTCATGGTTACAATGAAATTATACATTTAAGTACTTATTATAATATTAATGATTTTGAAGGATTGGGATTTGGTTGTGGGTTAGTTGTGTGTAATTTTTCATAATTTACCATTATTACTATGGTAAGTACATGTAATACGCAGCAAGGTTACCCAATATTTTTATTTTTACTAGCATTGAAACATGTAAGCATAAATAAAACATGCGCTTTTGCCATCAATAAATAAATGAAGAAACTGTATAAATGCACAGATATGTACCCTTTTTAAAATCATATACAGGATGTTTTGGTACACTATTATTAAAAAAAAAATTATATAGTATGCAATGTATGCCCTCACTTAATAGAGTGCCGAAGTTACGACGTCACTCTGTAGGCCAAAACGCGGAAGTGAGTTAGCATTTAGCACTACCTGTTCCCTCGCGCTAAAGTCTATGGGGTTTTTTAATTGGGGTTTTACTAAATCGCCTGAAATAAGGTCTGTGGTGAACAAAGCCTCTAAATATTTTCACGTTTTGATCTATGACATAGAACACACAGTTATAACCTGCTTGTGTTTGTTTAAACTTTATTGTGTCTGCTTGTGTATAGGCTTCCAAATGTATACATTTTGGATTAAGAGTCACAACTCTTTGTTGAACACAGATCTTATTTTGCGATTTTCCAAAAGTCTATGGAGAAAATGCATAGCTTTTCGATCGAGGAAACCCATGCGCCGCTAGCTTCCGCGTTGTCCGACCGAAGTGACGTCATCACTTCGGCACTCTATTAAAGCACAAACTAAGCAAAACATTTTATATTTAAATATACATTATTTAAAACATTACAATAAAAGTTGACCAGCAGGTCAGAAAAAAATAAATAATACAAAAACTCACCAATGTAACACGCAAAAGGAGCATAGTCTTCACAGTCGCGGTCATACCAGTTGCCATTATAAGTATTAACACACAACTGAGCATTCGGTTGTCCAAAATTCCATTTTCTGAACGAGGAGCTTCTCCGATCTGACCAGACAAAGTCGCCATTACCTTGAGTCCGATGTAGTCCAAGCCAAACGTTTCCCATTCCAGCAGTTTTCTGCAGTTCATCAAGATCCGCCTGGCCATAAATGGTGATGAGATCTGTGTAACGCTGTCTACAGTACTTCTGTGCGTCCGTCCAGTTCACAGACACCGGCACATAGACATACTGACGCAGCTGTGCGAATGTCCTGTGCAGCAGAGCTGAAAAAAACATGGTTTAATGTCACATATTGTGTCATTTCGCTGGAAAACGATGTCAAAATGATGTTTTTAATAAGTGAAACCTATGAAGCACCATACAATTTACAGAGAAAAACAACTGCGTCTACATGTATTGTTTATAGTTTTTTCATCTGTAATGTACATTAGGCATTTTGTGTTACACTTGAAGTTATTTAGTGTCACTTTAGTGTTATGTTTGTCAACACGATTGAAAATGCATATCTATAGCACGAAAAAAAAAGTTTTTATGTGCATTTGATACACACTGTATACCCCTTGTGATTAGCGGTGTGGAGTATATGTACTGTTCGTATCACACGACATAAAGTGGACGTGAAATCATTTGCACGTGAAAACTCTCACGATAAATTGAGGCGTTTGTGGCGTGGTTTTGCGAAGTTTGTAGCGAGAGAGGAATCAGCGAGCTGTGCGGTGAGTAAGTAGGCGAGGAGAGATCGCATATATATAGGTTTGAGGCCCTGTTTACATGAGAACGTTCGCGGGTGAAAACGTAAAAATATTTTATCGGATGTGCCTTTCGTTTACACGGCGACGGCGTTTTGGGGCTTAAAAACGCAAAAAAGTGAAACCACCCTCCAGAGTGGAAATCTTAAAAACGCTCCACCGCCGCGTTCCCGTGTAAACGGTAAAAACCGGTAAAAACACTAAAGTCTACTTGACAGTGAAGGTTCGGACTTGGCGTTGTTATGTGGCAGTGCTCCACATCGCCACCTAGACGCCTGGAGTGCATACTACATTGAATTTCACACACTTTTGCGTCACGTGGATTTCCCACCCAAAACGCTCGTCTAAACGCAGAATAAAAAGTGATAATGCGACACCACTTTTGCGTTTTCTCTTCAGAATTGTTTCCGTGTAAACATTGCATTAATCCTGCCATGATTCAAAAGTGAAAATAAAGTTCTAAAAGGTTGAAACTAGTGTTGTAGTCTCGAGACCAATTTTTGATGGACTCGGGATTTTTTTTTCAAGACCAGACAAAATATCACTAATTTGCCAGTATATTGACTAATTTTTTGTTAACATCCTTTATTGCATGTAAAACATACTGATTCAAATCTAAGCATTAACGTGACTCATTGGTCATTGCTAATTATGTATTTTTGTAACGGCTACCTGTCACCTACGTATTCATGTTCATGTGTTGTTAATAAAAGGCGGAGAAAAGTGAAGACTTATTTTACATTCTGTACGAAATGATGGAAGTCACCCAGGAGTATTGAATAAAGATGGTTTATTTCAGCTTTGAGTGTTAAATATCTCTGTTTTTATGGGAATGTGGATCTTTCAGATCAATCTCTTTTGATCATGTTTCACATTTTATTGTGTCATGTAGTGTGGGGCGCTGGTCTTGGTCTCGGTCTCTTGGTCTTGGGTTAGATGGTCTTGACTACAACACTAGTTGAAACTAAGTGTTGGAAAACTCAAACAGAAAAAAAGTTTTGCAACATCGAAAAATAAGATTTGCAAGCTGGCAAAATGTAAAAAAATAAAAATATCTCTGCAAACGTTGTTGTTGTTTTTTAGATTTCCTTCTTCAGAGCTGCAACATTTTTTTTTTTTTTTTTACAAATTTTTTCAGAGTTTCAAATTTGTCAGTGTTGTCCCACTGTATTAGTTTGTTTTCCAGCTTTGAAACCTTGTAAATGGTGATCTAAAAACTGGTGCGCAAATGTGTTAAAAAAAGTTATGAAACTCGCCATTTTAACAGCGAATATCTGCCATACACCCCCAGTATATTGTTTTTCAGGTTCTAACTTAAGACAACAAACCTGATTCAGCAGTTGAGAAGTAAATAAGTACAAACTGTGTATGCCGTACGTGAATTTTGAGGCTGAATTGAGTGCGATGAGATAAAATGACTGCGTACCACAAAATTATGACAAATCATCATACATTAGGAATTAAACATCTACCACAACTAACCTGACAAAAGCAGCAGCGAGAGTTGATCAATCCTCATGATGAGTGATTAACCTATGAGGAAAACACAAAAACACACCTGGATAATATCAACCCCCTAAATATTTAGACCAAACCTCATTAGCCGCGTTTCCACTGCCGGGCTAGGGCTGGGCCAGAGCTAACAGCGAGCCGAGCCGAGCTAGTGGCCTCGGGCCTCAAGCACCGGGTTTGCGTTTCCACTGCCGGGCCAGTAGCCCCACAGCGCTGCCCCAGACCCCACCCCTAACACGCCTTTCTGGATCAAACGTCATAAAACCCAACCCATTTCAGCGGGTATTATGAATTAATTTATTTTTTAAATTAGGAAGATAGCATGTATATTAACTCACCTGCCGTAGTGGCTGCAATAGTGTCCCGAGACCAGTACAGGCGATTCTCCATTTCAAGCAGCGATTTTTTGCGCGATATAACAAGTAGGGCTGCGGGCACGTTTTCAAGTTATTCATTAACCGTTAACCGAGGCCCATCGGTTAATACTCGGTGCATATACAGAGTTAATTTTTTAACACCTTTAATAACTGATTGGACCCCATTTGAAACGAAATTAATTTATAGAAATAAAACGCAGCAAGTACGGAGCAGTTAAAGCCGCATTTCCATCACCCTTCAAACTGAAATTGCCAATTGAAAATAAGCAAAACGTCCATTTCACAAAAACTCCGTGTCTGCAAATAATAATAATAATAATAATAATAACCATCATCATCATTATTGTAACATTTTATTAGGCTGCATATGTAGAAGACGCCTTTATCCAAAAAAGGAACAGAGCACAAATAAACACAATATTTTTGACGCATATCAGCGCATATCCAGTGTGTGTGGAGCATGCACTGATGGCTGCGAGACGCCCATGTGAACACTTGCAGTTTCATTGCATTTCTTTCAGTGGAAACAACTTAAAATACTCTTTCATTTCTGGTCATACAGAAAATAATAATACATTATTCGCAAATACATTTATTTGCGTAAACTCACAATAACAAGAAAACGTTGTGCTTTAACAATTAATCAAGGCGCGCTTCATGATCTCTGTGAACTGAAGTGCGAGACCTGAAACAGCCACCGCATTCGAATTTGTTCCGTTTTAAATTGGACATTTAAAGCTTTAGTCTAGATTAAAGCTTTAAATGTCCAATTTAAAACGAACAAATTCGAATCGAAAGCCAATATCTTCTGACTATGTAATTATGTAGCTAATTAATTTCTCTCTAAATGTGCATCCGGAGATAGAGATATGTTTTTAGCCGAAAATCATTTAGAAAACAATAGTTTATTAATAAACAATTAATGCCTCGTTATTTTATATTATTTTATTATCAGACACATTTATTATAGCCTATAAATCACCCATAAATCCCCTTTCTGTAGGCTGTGGTTACGGCTCTTCTCATTCAGCACTGCGGGGAAAATATCATTTCCAGGTTCTAATTTGGCCTCAGAAAACCAGTAAAATATATATATTTTTTTCATATTAATTTGTCAAATATTTTAAATGTTTAAGGGGCAAAAAAATCTAAACAAATATCTGAAAATTCGTCGATATGTAGCCTATAGCCTACATATTTTTGCGCAGCATTTGGCATAGGCCTACAGTTCAAATTAAACTGTTATGCAATTTTACGGTTAAACATGGACACCCCTATGTGCATCTTGCTTCAGATCATAACGTTCCATAACACCGATAAACTCCGCCTTTTACCTTGAGCACGCCTCTAGCCCGAGCTGGCCCCCTCTGGCCCAAGGTATTCGACGGGCCAGAAATCCTGGCCGTTGGCCCTGAGGAAGCCCCGATCAAGCCCCGGAAGTGACAGTGGAAACGCGACTGGCCCTGGCACGCACTAGCACGGCCCGGCCCTGGCCCGGCAGTGGAAACGCGGCTATTGACTGATTGCGTTACACACTTTAAAATGTGTTTATACTGCTAAATCACGAACGGGCCAATTACAGTAATTTACACTTAAAAAATGCTGTAAAATAACAGCCAAATTCTGAGAATAAAATACTGTTTATACAAGTGTCTTTTCGCCCAATAATGACATGCAAATATGACATTGTTTGAGATGTCTTTGTTATGACATCTTGACATAAACCAATACATCATAACCTCACAGTGTCAAACTGTCAAGTGAACTGTACAATCTAACAGTTAAATTGACTAAACTAAACAATTTCATTTGACTGAATTAATAGTGAAGGTTAACTGGAAAAAAGTCTACCTGATCAGGAGAGTGAATGGGATAAAACTGAAGTGTTGTACCTAAGAGTTATGTTATGTTTAATGGAAATTGAACTAAGTTCCTAATCCTGGCTTAATCTAAAACCAGACCATCAAGCGTTTGCAGTTTAATTTTGTATTAAGAAATAAATGAATTCAAGTTCACATTACTAACACTGTATACATTTTAGTTTTTAAACTTGAACGATTTAAAGCAATCAGTTTCCCAAATGAAAAGAGTTAACTTCCACAGTGTTATTACAGTAAGATGTAAAAGGGAGCTGTAATTTAACAGTACACTACAGACATTATTCACAGCACATTTTTTTTACAACCACTCTTCAAAATTACCAAATTAAAACACAGTGTAAACATCCAGCAGAACTGCTTCGTATGCAATGTTTTCAGGATCCAAATCCATCAAAACTTCTATACTATCACTAGAATGTCTGTTCCTTCAAATCTGAAATTTAACCTCAATAATTACAGATTAGGATAAAAAGAGAAGCTCATCATCTTCAACACATTGAACAAATAAACATGATGATCATTTACCTGCAGCGGCGGACTGACTGGAGGTTGATGGCGACTGATTCAGCATCCAGATTTGACTCAAGGTATCTTTAATGCAAAACCTGTCGTCTGTCACATGCAAAGCATGAAGACATCAATTTCCATTTGAACTTTGCTGCAACATAAGGCTCTTCTTTAGAATAATGGCTATGAAAACAGCCAGTGACTTTCTGTATCACGTATATCTTAAAAGGCAACCATTAACAAAATCAAATTTCCCCTTAAATGATGGATGTTCTGGGATTCGGTCACATAGTTAGATTCAGACACTCGGTGGTTTCATTTAAATGTACAAACAGAAGACTAGGAAATCATGATACAACTCAACAGCTTAAACTGGACTAAACACCAAAAAACACGACTAATCCCAGAACAAAGGGAGAAGCAGGACTTGTGCAAACAAGGGGAACTAAATGAGAATACTCAAATCATTCTGTAACCATGGTAACAAACAGACGGGGGAAACTGAGGGTGTGCGTTTACACGACAACAATGTCTTAAAAACAGACGACAACGTTGTCAAAACAATCCCTGTTCACAAAAATGAGTGTATTATGCTTTCAGGCCACTTTTTCAAGAAACACCTCAAGAAACAAATCATGCGTATGACGACATTACCGTTTTCTCAAATTCACGTTTTTGTTGTTAACATGGAGACGGTAAAGCCATTGTTTTCAAAACCTGTTTTCAGGCCCCCAAAAATGCTGTTGTGGTGTAAATGAAAGGCCAAAACGCATACAAAGTTAAAAAAAACAGTGTCGTGTACTACCCTGAAACTACAGAACTAGAAAAATGACCACGAAACATGCACAGAAACTAGAAACGGATCAAAAACAAACTCAAACCCTCAAAAAAGTCTTAATATCTTACATCATTCATATGTACATGAATCTTGTTTTCAGGATATTTACTTTTTTTTTTAAATCTGCAAAATAAAAATACCTGTTAGAAATAGCATTTTTTTGGGGTTTTCAATCGAAATAATGCTGACTTTCTTAAAACTCCCCAAAATCCACCTCAGCCTAGTACATACACCTTTATGTAAATGTTTGAGAGTTGACAATGGAAAGTTTGCATCGGAGCATGGGTGGATTCCCACTAACGCCTCGGGCTTCTCTGTGTATGCATTGGCCAACTAGGATATTTTCTGCCACTAATGTTGTATTTATTCATTACTGCATGCGTTTGTTCGTTTATCCATTGGATCACTTGCTAACACTTTTAGACCTCATAAAAAACATCAACATAATCCTAAAAGGTTCAAAAGCTGGAGAACACAAAAACAGGACCACTTCCCACGTACTGACGAGGACATGAAAGCTTCGGTAGATTATTTTCTCTATGTGAATGATTGTTGTCATGGTGGAACGAACAACTCTTTGTAAATTGTAATCTTTTCTGGGAGTGACCTGCTGATGGCCTGGCTGCATCCCCGCAGAATCGGTGCGGATCTGGATCTGTTGTCGGACAATATCTCCAGGATGCCACGCACCACATCTCAAATCCCAGAACCACTTTAAATGATAGAAGTGCAGACTGTGTCTGTTCCCGGATAGTGAGGTCAAGTAATACGTTTACAACAGGATCTAGTGAAAAATATGATTCCAGAGAAAACCCAAATAAGTGAGAGAAAAAAACGGGCTCCTAAACATTAGATCTCTTACACCAAAGGCATTTGTTGTTAATTGAACCAGGGTTCAATATTATTGGCCTCAACCCCGGGTCTCTCTAATGTCAGTCGCTAAAGCCCGTCTGTAGATCAGGTGAGTGAGGTTTACCAGCTGACCTTCGTTACACAATAGTCTGATTGGTCATGGCAGCGCCATGGCACAACTTTAAAAACAAAGTTAAGGTCAGCAATGGAAAAACATGATCACCTTTAAGCATCGTGTGTGCCAGTGCTTTAGTCAGCTGATTTGACACTTACTTGTTTGTCTGTGTTTTTGAGACCTAATTTGTGAAGTTTGTGTAAACTGACAGGGGTCAAACACATTGAACAACTGTGCTAAACACAGTGAGACAGGAGAACTGGCTGCAAGCTCCGGCAAAGTTTAATTAACCCTGAAGCAACCGGTGCAGTACCTTCATTTAACAGCGCTACCGCCCTCTACAGGAGACAATAATAACAGCGACCTTTTCTTTACCCCAAAGAAGATAACGGTAAATTGAACCAACCATTAACAAATGTTAAAGGCCCACACATTTATTAATAATGCACAATTTTTTTTTGAAGGGGTATTGTTCATTCTTAGTTCATGTTAACTAAGGTAGTTAAATAATGTTAACTAATGAACCCAATTGTAAAGTGTTATCAACAAGGTGAACATAAATAGTGTTTGCTTGAAGAGTGTGACAGAAGGGAGGAGAGACACGGTTGGTCATGTGATGCACATTTAAACATCGTCGTCCTCCCTAAAAACAGTATTATGGGGGATTATTGGGTCAGATTGAAAACTTAAAGTCCAAAATGAAAACTAAAATGAAAACCAAAATGAAAACTAAAAGTCTAAATTTGAAACTAAAAGTCTAAATCGAAAATGTATTTGGTATTTACAATAGGCCATTTAGGATTTAGGATTGGGGATTTGGGGGCAGTTGTTCAAACGTAAGCTGATCGGATTTTGGTTATCGGATTGGATCAAATCTTGAAAATGGGTTGTTCAAAAGGGAAAGAAGGAATCTGAAATCTGATTAGATCAGGGAATCCAATCCTAGTTTTAATCTGGATCAAACCTTCAGTTTGTGTTGTTCAAAACTTGTCAGTGGTGGAGAGTGGATCTACTGAAGGTATACTTCGTGAACAGAGTGACCATCACTAACAGAAACACCAATCCTTCGAGGATAGACGGAGCTGTGATTCGCGTCGGGAACGTCCCTGACATTTACAGCAACACCATGTGAGTCTTCCTTTGACTGTGTTGATGAATGTGGCTGTAGATGAACAGAAACTGATAACAGATTATCTCTCTAGATGTGCTGTAATTTCCAGTCTTGAGGCCAGCGCTACGGCCACTTTCTCATGCGGCGGGAGGATGGGACGTTACATGGTTGTTCATGTTTTCTCTCTTTTCTTTCAGTTCTTTGTCAGTTTTACTCAATGTTTTAAGTTCCTTTGTTAATGAAACGTTAATAATAGGGCTGTCAGCGTTAATGCATTAATCGCGATTAGTTAAAAACAATCCATAACGCGTTATTTTTTTTAATCGCATTTCAAGGAATGCGTTTTTGTCCCTTTGGCTAGCCCGTAGTCAGCCCCTTTGGTTTGTGAAGCGGTAAAAAGTGATGGATAGAAAAAGTACGACCGGATTTTTAAACAGCCTGTTTAACTTTAAAAAAAAATCAGACGGTTCCGTTGACAACACTAAGGTACAATGCAGCATTTGTTTCAAGGAGTTCAGCTACCATCGGAGCACGTCAAGTCTAAGTTACCACCTCCAGGCCAAACACCCCGGTGTTTCATTTGACGCTTCCCGGCCAAGCAAGCCGCAGCCTCGCCACAGAACTATTCCTGAGTGTGGGCGTCGCAGCAGACCCTTGGATGAAAATAAGTTAACCACAGCGATCGAATTTACTACTAGTGTTAAATATCACTTGATTGCTGTTATTGCTAGGAATCGTTTTGCTAATAATGTTATTGTTTATTTTTGAAGTAGGTTAAGAGAGTGGCCTGATAAATGTCATCTCTCAAAGTAAGCACTGCGTTACTTTATTCCTCCTAATATTTGGAAGTTGGTCTACATTGCACTTTTTTTAAATAAAAAATGTTCAAAAAGGAAATTGTATGTGTTCTTTTGATTCCCAATGAAAACTCTGGTAAGATATACTACATTATGGGCTTAAAAAACTGTCTTGATTTGCAAAATAACAGAATTTTACACATGCAAAAAAAAAAAACGCGATTAATCGCAGTTAACTATGAAGCTTCTGCGATTAATTGCGATTAAAAAAATTAATCGTTTGACAGCCCTAGTTAATAATAAACATTATCCTCACTGTTGCAACCCATTTGTGCAAATCTATATGTTCATTTTGAGTGAGAAACGTGGTGGAATACTATGGAGTTAATATTGTGTCACAATTAAACAAACGAATCCAGCATTTTGCAAAGAAACTCGATCTGCTTTGCAAAGGAAAACTCGACTCGGAAACAAACAGAAAGCTTAAAGATTAATTTGAGTGAAAATGCAGAGAAGTAACAAATACATATTCTGTTTTACAAATATAATGAGCCTAGATAATATTTATCAAATAAATACACACCATCCTACAAATTGCATGTAACCTTTGAACAAACACCAAATCTAGTGCATACAAATGCATATCTGTGTGTTATGATTGTGAGACACTTGGCTTTTTATGAGATCTCTCGGCCCGATTTTACTCACAAATACAAGTGACTGAAACTTGCTAAATGTGTCTTATAGAACTAGACATAAATCCACATTAGCACTTAATAGCACTTCACTCTCTAGGATAGGGCAATCTAGAAGCGGAAAGCTCTGCCATCATATGTTGCTTTTTTACATTTTCTCTACATTGGACGGGTGCGAATTGACTAAATTAGTGATTATGTCTGCTGAACATTTCATTTAATTGAAAGGAGAGGGGTTTTTTGTCCAAAACATTTCAGTTACTAATCTGTACAGTTCTGTGGAGACCATCCACAATACTTTCAGGATCAGAAAATGGACTAAACAACACCATCTCCTGTGTGCATATGAACTGTAAATAGTCTAGGTCCAGAGGTTGCCGATTGAGAATGCGCTGAAGTCGAGATCGAAGCCGCTACCTCATTAGGAGAACACTGGACAGACACAGACAGATACCTATTACAATTAGAAATGCAATATGCTAAACATTAATGAAAACTTGTAAATGGATTTATTTCATATTAAAAGCATGTTTGAATATAATTTTGCATAGCTGTTCAAAAACGCAGATTCATTTAGTAATGAAACATTTATGCTGCCCGTCCGGATACAAGCGATGGCTGTACTGTTTCACCAATGAAAATTATTCCTAAAAGATCCAGAGCCAAAATCCTAAGTCTAAAATGTTGGTCAAATATAATATTAACTTCTTGTTTATTGAGCTGTAAAAATACTAACATTTGCCAACGTGCGGATATTCGAGAACTCCTCGTTTGGTTTTGCTTAAAGGGATAGTACAAATAACACAACAATGTTTGTTTCTAGAAGAAAATTGCGTCAACGTCCACCTTAAGACAGATCAATAATATTGTAGAATATTAAAAACTCTAGTAATACTCTAATCAGAGCAGACATGCAAGTGCAATGTTACTTGCAGTCAACAGAATGTTGGGGACCATCAAAATATATGAATATATTGTAAAATATATATTCATTGTAAAAATATATTCATCTATGTGAATATATTGTAAAATGTAGTCTAATTTATTCCTGATGTGAAAGCTGTATTTTCAGCATTATAACTCCAGTCTTCAGTGTTTTACTGATTCGAAACTTTTGAAGGGTTGATGTCACTTGATCTCTAGGATAGTATTTCTCAGTTTATTTTTTAGATCTACTTTACTAATCAAATCGTATGTTGAATAGATGCTCCTTTGTGTATGTAAATAGTTCGACAGCCGTCTTGATGTTTGTGTTGTCAGGCAGTGATTCCACAGAAACGTCAGTTTGTTGCAGATTATTATTAGTGTGTCTATAGTTTCCTCGATTCATTATAATTCAGATGGTGTTTTCTGATTTGGGTCACTATCTGTTTTAATGTCAGCATCTTGAATTTCAACTTCATGACTGAGCGATTCAGGAAACCTCCTCTATAGCTTCCTTCGCTAAAAGAGTTTTCACTTCTTGCTCCATCAAGTTGAAACGTGGTGGACGAGAAACGAACTGGATTCTGTACCTTTTCTCGACTATATGCAGGACCCACTGAGATATATTTGGCAGAAACTTCCATTACGATAAATATTCTACTAAGGAAACCAGCCTCCTGTTGATGGCGAGGGAGATATCGTTTAACTCTTCCTAATAGATTATTAAAATGTTCTTCATTCTAAAAAAAAAAAAGTGCTGATTTAAGAACTGATCACTGAAAGGTTATTTGGTACACCAAAATGGATCTAAAAATGGCATCTCTGTGAAAAAACATATTTAAAACACATCACATAAATAACACTGCTGTTTTTTTGTGCACATTCAGTCCATCATTTGTTTTAGTGCAGCAATAGAAGTTACATGATCATCTTTCAGCGGCGGACAAGCCAGGATTAAGGTCCAGATGGCTTATTTGAAGCTTATTTGTTTGTGTAAACTTAAAGGCATTTTTACACAGCAGAAAACACCCTGAAGATCTGTGCTGAACACAATGATAATGATGATCACCAGTCGTGTATTCAAAATAATGGAGATGGAAGGGAGGAGAGACAAGATGTTCTTGATATGCAAATTTAAATGGGTTGTCCTCCATAAAACATAAAACTAACACTCTCCATCCCTAAAAGAAAGACCAACGCCTTTGATCAACCATGAAGAAGCTCTTCAAGTGCCTGTGGATCTTACTGGGTAAAGTACAACATTCATGATCTGCTATTTTACTAGGATGTAGATTTGTAGTTTAGTCTTTACTTTGGATTCATAGCATATTGTAAAGATTTGGCATTGGCATCAAACACATATTGTAGATGAGTTGTTTCATACATTGAATCTTTTGGATAATGAATACTCTGGATCCCCAGCCTGAAGATATCTTTGATTAAATTTGAGAGCTGGATCACTCCTCTATAGGCTCCCTAAGGGATTGAAAGTGGACGGCCCAGAAAGTCATTGAAGAAAATGTTTAAATAGTCCATTGGCTCAAGTATAAAAGTTCATCAAGTGACGAGAATACTTTTTGGCGGGAAAAAACAAACAAAAATAACGACTTTATTCAACTATTCCTTTTCTTCCTTGTGGGCCTGAGATAAGAGTTCAAGAGATTTCCACGACGTATGCGCGAGAACTGCTTGCTGACATTGCTTGTAAACAAACAGAAAGTTTTGCGCTTCCGGCTATGTCAGCACGTCATACAGTAGGTGGCGGTAATACTCCTAAGCAGTGAGCAGCTAGTAACGAGAAGTAGTAGAAGAAGAACGATCTGTTCTCAGTTCTAGCGCATGTGTCGTGGAAATCTCTTGATTGATTCAAAATAAGTTCGTTCGTCTTGATATTGATTCAAAATGTGTTCGTTCGTCTTGTTATTGATTAAAAATGTGTTCGTTCCTGATTAATTATTATTGTGTCAGTAGTTTCATTCAACATGATCAATGTTTTATGTTTCCATTATCATTCGGTTTATTTTGCGTTAGTGACGATATCAAAGTAAATTAACTACAAATCTCAAGTTCAAGTTACTTTATTTGTACCCGAAGGTAGATTTTGTTTGTATGAGTCCTCATACACACATATGGTACATAAAACACATCATTCAAACTTCTGAAATGGCAAAAATTTAATTTAGATAAAAAATAAAATAGAAATAAAATTTCAGAATGTGATTCAACAAATCCAGGTTCTCTGATACCAACAAGACATCATGACGTTTGCGTAAACATACACGTCACTTTCTAGTCAAGTGGCGTGTTTATCTATACACATTTTGAGCTATCCGCATGTATGTCTACACCGTTAAATGTCCGAGTGATACTGCGTGTATGTACACGCCGTTAAATGTCCGAGCGAAACGAAGCAAAATCAAGATCTACATCTGGGGATATTTTCTTTTCCTAGGATGGTAGGGGAAGACTCATAAATGCTATTAACCCCAGTGACGGGTGGGTTTAGGGACGGGGTTGGGGTACGCCATATATTTATATATACAGTAATGTAACGTTATGTCAATGACGTTTATAAACACGCTGAAAAGCGATTATGCGTGTTGATAGCACACCAGAAATGCAAATACGAATTGGCGTGTCATACATACGCCATTTCATGAGATCAGTCTGTTGACACTCACTTTGATTCCACAGGGTTTGTATTGGTTGTGGAAAGAGCAAATGGACAAGAAGGTAAGAACCGTTGTTTTACCTTTGTTTTCATTTTGTTTTTCTGTTTGACAAATGTTGTCTTTGAAAACTTTTCCAGAGAACGCAGCACTTTGGGGCGAAACTACTCAGTCATCAGTGTATGCAGACTCTTACCCTGAATACGCGCTTGATGATTTGATTGACACCTGCACTCACACTAACTCAGAGACCGACCCGTGGTGGAGAGTGGATCTACTGGGGGTATACAGCGTGAACAGAGTGACCATCATTAACAGAATCAACTTTCCCTCGAGGTTAGACGGAGCAGTGATTCGCGTCGGGATCTTCCCTGACATTTACAGCAACACCATGTGAGTCTTCCTTTGACTGTGTTGATGAATGTGGCTGTAGATGAACAAAAACTGATAACAGATTATCTCTCCAGATGTGGTGTAATTTCCAGTCTTGAGGCCAGCGCTACGGCCACTATCTCATGCGGCGGGATGGTGGGACGTTACATGGTTGTTCATATTCCTGGAAACCAGAGGATTCTTAGTCTTGCTGAAGTTGGAGTCTATGGGTATTTGGCAGGTAATGTTTGTATAGCACTTTTCAACATCGAAAGTAATAAATCATTTTTATTCCACAGCTCTCTGAAATTCTTGAACCTGATTGGTCAGCCAAGAAATAACCCGAGTTTGGAATATCGGCATTTAAATGGACGGTGTTAGGTAACAATGTTATTTTTTTCAGTAACTGTAACATCGGGGCCAGGAATAAAGCGGAGAGTGAATCCAAACGTTAGCACTTTAATTAAATGAACAGGTAATCCAGGGTAAACAAAGAAACTCAGAACAGGAACTCAGAACAAAGCTACAGGCAACAACGACCGACAACCAACAACTGAAGCACGGAGGTTTAAATACAGACAAACAAGCTAAACAAGATAACAAGGGGGTGGGGCTAATTAGATACACTGGAGAGACTCGTCAACAAGTAAAACTACAAAGGACGACAAAACATGGCACAGAACAGGAAATAACTAAAGTCCACACAAGACAAGGAAAACACAAGACGGGAATCGTGACAGTAACGAGGTGATCTAACTAATTACTTTTCCCGTCATTACATGCCGTTGACGTTACTGGACGCTAAATGTGGTGCGTCTTACGGGCGTTAGTTTGGTTTGAAATGTGCTGGGGACAGAGACGCATTCAGAAGTGCTGGTACAAACTGGTCAAACTGTAGTTCCATCAATCCGCAAATGTTGTTTGAGTTCTTTAATGGTCTGGTGGTGGATCTTTTGCCAAACGTGTCAGAGGTTACGGGTTGTAAAGCCTAGTTTTTTTTTTCTCTCATCAAAACTGAATATGGCCATCACTGGTTATAGTGTAATTTTCTAGGAAATCGGGCAGTAAGAGGAGCCGCTACACAGTCGTCAACATCTGGGAATTGGTTTGCTGGAAAGGCCATTGACAGTAATCGAGGTCTGTTGAATACGGCATGCTCCTCAACCCTTAATCAGACTAACCCGTGGTGGAGGCTGGATCTGCATGATATGTACCGAGTTAGTAAAGTGGTCATTACTAACAGACGAGACTGCTGCACAGAACGAATAAACGGAGCGGAGATTCGCATCGGGAACTCTTTGGAGAACAACGGCAGCAACAATCCCATGTGAGACTCTTGAGGTTGAAAGTACATCAATACTTCACATCATGTGAATGTGAAGATTATAGTATCTTGATCTCCTTCATCTGTTTGTCTCTGTCTGTAGATGTGCTGTTATTCCTGATATTCCAGCAGGCGAGTCCTACAACTACTCCTGTGATGGGATGGACGGACGTTATGTGATTGTTCATATTCCTGGAGATCAGAAGATTCTTACTCTTTGTGAGGTTGAAATCTACGGGTATTTGGCAGGTAATTCATGTTTTACAGCATTATATTCAATAAATTATACCATATTTGTGGATTTATTTGTGGATGCGTCCCAGATCCGGCCTACATCTGGGACATGTGGAATGAGGATCTGGCCCTCATACCGCGTGGAATGATGGCACTTAGGTGGACCACTCCTGTTTGCCAGATCTAGGCCACGCCAATCTAGCAAACACATTTACGTTGTGGCATCATCGGCGGCTCGTTGCATTTCTGCTATGGCAGTCTACGTGCTCGCAATATTGTAACAACATAGAATTGACATCATGACGTTTGCGCAAACATACACGCCACTTTCAAGTCAAGTGGCGTGTTATCTATACACATTTTGAACTATCCGCGTGGATGCGTGTATGTCTACGCCATTAATGTCCGAGTGATTCCGCGTGTATGTACACGCCGTTAAATGTCGGAGCGAAACGAAGCAAAATGTAGATCTACATCTGGGGATATTTTCTTTTCCTAGGATGGTAGGGGAAGACTCATAAATGCTATTAACCCCAGTGACGGGTAGGTTTAGAGATGGGGTTGGCTCATATATTTATATATACAGTAATAACGTTAAGTCAACGGCGTTCATAAACACGCTGAAAAGCGATTATGCGTGTTGATAGCATGCCAAAAATGGAAATACGAATTGGCGTGTCATACATATGCAATTTCATGAGATCAGTCTGAAGCCTGACACTACTCATGTGTCTCTGGATAAGATGGAAGCTTCAACCCGTGTCTGCGGACAAGATGTCTGCCTCTGCCTCTGACCAGCTGGCACTGCCATGGCCCCCAGAAGTTTATTTGTTTATTTCCTTTACAAAGATACATATAAAGTTTCCACGTCTATTAAAAGCTGTGCACGAAATGTGCCTCATAATACCACATTAAAAATTTATCTTTGTGAATAAAAGTGTTGTCCTCACCTTGTGGTAGCTTGAATTAAAGAGGAGTCTGATATGCATGTTTAGATGGAGGTCGGATGTCTTATGCATCTGATTTAAAACCACATTTGGAAGTGGCTCAATGTAAATTCATTGTTTTCATAATTTTTTTAGAAAATCTGGCAGTAGATGGAGTTGCTACACAGTCATCAACATCTGGGGACGGGTTTGCTGAAAAGGCCGTTGATCGAGGTCTCCAGCAGTTGTACACGGGATGCTCCTCAACCCTTAATCAGACTAACCCGTGGTGGAGGCTGGATCTGCGTTATATTTACAGAGTTATTAAAGTGGTCGTCACAAACAGACAAGACTGCTGTGCAGAACGAATAAACGGAGCGGAGATTCGCATCGGGAACTCTTTGGAGAACAACGGCAACAACAATCCCATGTGAGACTCTTGAGGTTGAAAGAACATGAGAGCTTGAGTACAAATATAGATTTGAATAATTGACAGTATCTTGATCTGCTTGATCGGTTTGTCTCTCTGTCTGTAGATGTGCTGTTATTCCTGCTATTCCAGCAGGCGAGTCCTACAACTACTCATGTGGTGGGATGGATGGACGTTATGTGAATCTGATCATTCCTGGAGACATGAAGATACTCACTCTCTGTGAGGTGAAGGTCTATGGAGAAGGTACACACTCGGTTTATAATATCAGATAATAATAATGTCTTCACATCATCATATTTGTCAACAAGACACAGTGAGGAACAGGGAAATGCTTTAATAAATGCCAATGTGTTGGTTCCACTATTTATAAAATTTCATTTGTTAATTGAATTCAAAGTTTCAATATTTATAAAATTTCATTTGTTAATTGAATTCAAAGTTTTATGTATTTACATGTATGACTGTGTTTGTTTAGGTCCCGCTTTAAAAAGGTCATTAGTAAAAATGCAGTTTAACTCCATCAATGATCTGACTGACCCTTCAATGAGAGAAAATGTTCTGAAACAGGTGAGAGAAAGAAACCAATTCAACCTTTATGATTACTGTGAGAAGCAGAAATTAGGCCAAATTGTTCAAGTCATTTTATAGTAAACATAAAATGGTTATTTATTGGCATTGATTATTCCAATAAGAACCTTTAATATTCATGGAATCTTCCCATTACTCAAAATGTTCTTTATAGGGGTAAAATGCTATAAAAGCTACTCTCAGTGCTGCGCTGACAGTGCTATGGGAAAACATCTCGGTTACATATGGTAACCCTCGTTCCCTGAGGGAGGGAATGGAGATGTAGGTCATGACTGACCAGTAGGAATCTCGCTAGAGAGGCCAATCTACTAAACAAGCCTGAAGACCCAGCTGGCTGAGGTGCCTGAGCACGAGGTCCCTGTATTCACAAAACTGATCTCGAGAGTGTGCGAGTATGAGCCAGTCGTGGAGATAGTTGAGGATGCAAATGCCCTGTTCTCTCATGGGAACAAGGGCCCCCTCCGTGACTTTCGTGAAGACACGAGGGGACAGGGACAGCCAGAAGGGTAAGACCTTGTACTGATATGCTCGAACGGCCTGTGTTGAGGAAAAATCGAGACATGAAAGTACGCGTCCATCAGGTCGATCGCTGCAAACTAATCTCGGGGACGGATGCATTTGAAAATGCGTTTCTGCGTGAGCATTCTGAATTCGAGGCTCCGATTCGAAACTCGCGGGTCCAAGACTGGTCATAACCCACCACCTTTCTTGGGTACAATGAAGTAGGGACTGTAGTGCCCTGACCTCATATCGGCTTGAGGGACAGGCTCTCTTGCGTCCTCCGCCAGTAGGACTGCGATCTCCACACGCAAGACATGGGCATCGTCTGCTCTCACTGTAGTGGAGTGGATGGCCCGAAACTTGGTGGGACGCCGGGCGAACTGAATTGCATATCCGAGCCTAATGGTCCGGATGAGCCAGCGAGACGCACCGGGGAGCGCTAACCAGGCTCTCAGAGACCACACAAACGGGACCAACGGGACAGTAGGCGTACCCGGAGTGGGACCTGGCTGGGGAGGCGGAGACTCATCCACGAACGCTGCTTGTGCGTGTTCAAAGCCCAGACACATAACGCAGTGATCGTGACCATCCCGCGATCCCAGGTAACGACCGCATCTAGAAACGCACAGATAGAACGTCATCTTTAAAAAGATGTGAACTATCTGTGTAAGCTCTTTTAGGGACTACTCTCGCAGTTACAGCGGTCACAGACGGGAATGTGCACCCGTGCGTGCGCTGAATCTCTCTCGCTGGATCTTACCAGCTGTTCTCGCGCTGCCGTGCCGTCACGGCCACACCGGAAAGGAGAAGGTCTTGTAGAAGTTAGTTAGTTTCCACTCTCAGAAGAGGCATCTAAGTGTCTTGGCTCCGAAGCAAAAAGCTTAAGTGCAATTGAAGTGTGTGTGCTAAGCTCTTTATCTGTCCACTTTGTATGGAGTTGTATGGAGCAGAAATTTCTCAATGTGAAAAGAGAACATCTTGTGGCAAACAGTTAGGAGACGCATGCCTCCATGCTGCTTTCAGTTTTGCATTTAAGCATGGCTAGTGCGAGCACTGCGAGTTGTTCTCCATTAAAGTGCTGTGTTCTCATCTCGTTTTTTTTCGGGGTCCGAGGAGACGGGTCCTTCCCTTTCTCCCTCACTCTCTTCAGATCGTGACAGTCTGCTGCTGAAGAGCTATGGCGACAAATCAATGCCAACAATAACCGGGAAAATGTTTCCAGCAAAATGTTGAATATTCTGTTGCTTCCTGCTATCTCTCAGGACACAGAACATTTAATATATATCCCAAAAATATAAAACTAGTGCCCCTTTCAGAGATGTTGACAGTGTGGAAACTACAGACAAGTATCTCTCCTTGGGTTTTAAAACAGTAGAAAGGGGTTACACAATACACTCACCGCCCTCCGTGTTTCAACGGCATGATCTCAGATCAAACACAAAGATTGGTTTGTCACAACCGATCACAAGGACGCATATTTTCATGTAGAAATCGATCAACTCCAGGACATCCGCACTTTAAATTGCATAGAAGACTGGCTGATTTTGCCCTAAAGATTTGACAACTTTAAGCCTTCTGCACTTTTCAGCTGTGGCTCAGAGCCAGGGGATTTAGTCCAATGGCCAATCCCCAGAGGGAAATATGGGTGAGAACAGAATTATAGGTTTGTTATAATTAATAGTACAAAATGTTTGTGTATCAGAAGAAAAGACTCTTTATGGGTCCTGGCCATAGTCCTTGAGGAGCTTGTCGAGACCCCTTTTTGAACCATTAGACTCAGCACTTGATAAGCTTCTGTATTTAGGGCTTTGGCAAGAGGCGCTTCCTTGCAAAAAGTTTATGATTCGGCAGGTTTCATGCCGAAATACAGTCTGGGTGCATCATACTAAACTCATATGGCTCCCAAAATGAATTGCAGCATTAAGCATGTCACCATTGTTGATATTCATTGACTGATTTTTGCTTTAGTGGACAATGCAGAATTATAGGTTTGTTATATTATGTTTGTGTATCAAAAGAAAAGACTCAAGATGACAAGAGTGAAACAGACCACTATATGATGATGATATCTTTATCATCAAGTAGACAATATCATCTGACGTTGGAGCTTGACGTCAAACAATCGTTGGGTTTAGACATCAACACGACTTTCATTTTCAACAGTAACATGACGCCTGAGGGACGTTGGATTAGTCCAGTGTCTTCCTGGTGTGCTTTTTGGGGAGGAACGTTTGAGTCTATCGTCACATTCTGATCTAATCGTTTTATTATGAATGTTATTTTCAGTTGGGATCTGCTCTTGCTGATAGAGGACTCACAAATGTGACACTGCGATGGACTCAAACTCCTGAACGGGTGATCCAGAAGGGGAACGATGCTAAACGTGAGTCTGTTCTCTCGACTGTACAATAACATATAGAATAAGCTTCACAAATGGAAATGATTATAAAATCATTGTAATGCGTAATGAGCAAAACAAATTTTCATTTACAGGTCCTTGCGAGAACAGAAAATCCCCTTGAAATCAACAGTCTTCAACTCTCTAAATTCACATTCATATTGATCTGAATCTAAATAGACAAGATTAAATTTCTTCATAATTACGTGTTTTCAGTGTAAAGACTGTTAAAACCCCCTTTGGTCAATAATTGTGTCCCTTAAAACTCATATTTAATGCCAAAATGACAAATTTTTTATGCCTTAAAATATCTTGAATGTAACTTGACACCCTTGCCTCATTTAGTAAACGTGGTTCTATGAATATGCAAATGAGTCCCGCCTCCACTCACTCACTAAGAGATCCACTGGTTGATGATCACACGTTGATCTGATTGGTTACAAGGTCGTTTGTGACGTCAGAAACACCAGCGATTTCAAACAGTGTTTTTGAGACTGACTTTGGTTCACTGCAGTTTTAATCAGAAAATACTCAGCAATGCTGTCCACTTATGAATTTATACATGGTGTGTGTTAAAGCAGATTACAAACACCACATAGACAACATTAAAAGCTTTATTTTCTTTAAATCACTCCTGCCTTACCATTTCTGTTGATTCAAACCTTTAAGAACCAGAAAACATTGTGTAATGTCAACATATAGCATTATATATATATATATATATATATATATATATATATATAGTAATAATAAATACAAAATTTTATAAAAGCTACAGTCGTAACCTAGTGCTGAGTTTCCTCTGTTTTTTCTGTGTTTCTGTTAGTCTCCAAGGTTGAAAATGGTTTGATTAAGTGACCTCTGATGTTTCATGTTTCTTTGATTTCTTTTTGTCTGTTTTCTTTCAGTTCTTTGTCAAATGTTTTAAGTTGCTTGTTCTGTTTCTGAGTTCCTTCGTATATAAAACGAAGACTGGTGCGGTTTATGTTCTTTTCTCCTCACGATTTCAACCCATTTGTGACAAATCGCATGTGTGACGAATAACTTTTGTATTTATTTATTTGTTCATTTTATCCCTGATTTTCATGACTGAGAAACGTGGTGGAATACTATGGAGTTAATTTTTTGTCACAATAAAACAAACAAATCCAGCATTTTCCAAAAAAAACATGATCTGCTTTGCAAGCAGATGATGCAGCGGAGTAACAAATATGTATTCTGTGTTACAAATATAGGAATGATGTATGATCCTAGATAATATTTAACAAATAAATACAAACCATGCTACTATGCTGGAACAGGAGATCAGGTGTGCTCTTACAGTAGTCCCTTTCACATCCAGACTCCAAAACACTTCTGTATAGGTGTGCATTTACTCAATGAGCACTGTACCACTGTTCGCCCGACTGTTACTGTACTTTATTTTTTTATTCTAAACTATATAATTTCTACTGTGTAAATTTCTATGTAAATCACTTTAAATTGCCATTGTGTATGAAATGTGCTATATAAATAAATTTGCCTTGTACGTGTACTGTGAGTTTGAATATAATTTTGCATAGCTGTTCAAAAACGCAGATTCATTTAGTAATTAAACATTTATGCTGCCCGCCCGGATACAAGCGATGGCTGTACTGTTTCACCAATGAAAATTATTCCTAAAAGATCCAGAGCCAAAATCCTAAGTCTAAAATGTTGGTCAAATATAATATTAACTTCTTGTTTATTGAACTGTAAAAATACTAACATTTGCCAACGTGCGGATATTCGAGAACTCCTCGAAGGGATAGTACAAATAATACAACAAAGTTTGTTTCTAGAAGAAAATTGCGTCAACGTAACGAACGTCCCTGACATTTACAGCAACACCATGTGAGTCTTCCTTTGACTGTGTTGATGAATGTGGCTGTAGATGAACAGAAACTGATAACAGATTATCTCTCCAGATGTGCTGTAATTTCCAGTCTTGCAGCCAGCGCTACGGCCACTTTCTCATGCGGCGGGATGGTGGGACGTTACATGGTTGTTCATATTCCTGGAAACCAGAGGATTCTTAGTCTTGCTGAAGTTGGAGTCTATGGGGATTTGGCAGGTAATTGATTGTTGTATAGCACTTTTCAACATCGAAAGTAATAAATCATTTTTATTCCACAGCTCTCTGAAATTCTTGAACCTGATTGGTCAGTCAAGATATAACCCGAGTTTGGAATAACGCAAAAACGGTGTTAGGTAACAATGTTATTTTTTTCAGTAACTGTAACATCGGGGCCAGGAATAAAGCGGAGAGTGAATCCAAACGCTAGCACTTTAATTAAATGAACAGGTAATCCAGGGTAAACAAAGAAACTCAGAACTGGAACTCAAAAAAAATCTAGGGAAATTAAAAACTCAGAACAAGAACTCAAGAACAAAGCTACAGGCAACAACGACCGACAACCAACAACTGAAGCACAGAGGTTTAAATACAGACAAACAAGCTATAGCTATATCCATGACACTGATAGCAGCGGCAACGACTTCAAAAACAACACATTAGCGCTAGATCTCTTATTTAATAGAGAGCTATGCTTCGAGATTAAAGTCAAAACATTGTGCATTCATAACAGTGCGCGTCCACTGGCTCAGAGCGCGCGCATGTGTGTGTGTGAAGTCGAACTGCCATGGATAAACACAAAATAGTAGCTTTTCACTTTTATCTGGGCTTTCAACAAAATTCTACACACGTCACACGTGCTAGTGGCAGTGTTTCTGAGGTGTTTTCGTCCTCGTCTAGTCAACACTATCTGGGTTTGTCACAACCAATCACAAGAACACATATTTTCATGTAGAAATTGATCAACTCCAGGACATCCGCACTTTAAATTGCATAGAAGACTGGCTGATTTTGCCCTAAAGATTGATAACTTTAAGCCTTCCGCACTTTTCAGCTGTGGCTCAGAGCCAGGGGATTTAGTCCAATGGCCAATCCCCAGAGGGAAATATGGGTGAGAACAGAATTATAGGTTTGTTATAATTAATAGTACAAAATGTTTGTGTATCAGAAGAAAAGACTCTTTATGGGTCCTGGCCATAGTCCTTGAGGAGCTTGTCGAGACCCCTTTTTGAACCATTAGACTCAGCACTTGATAAGCTTCTGTCTTCAGGGCTTTGGCAAGAGGCACTTCCTTGCAAAAAGTTTGTGATTCGGCAGGTTTCATGCCGAAATACAGTCCGGGTGCATCATACTAAACTCATGTATGGCTCCCAAAATGCATTGCAGCATTAATCATGTCACCATTGTTGATATTCATAGACTGATTTTTGCTTTAGTGGACAATGCAGAATTATAGGTTTGTTATTATGTTTGTGTATCAAAAGAGTAGACTCTGGATGACAAGAGTGAAACAGACCACTATATGATGATGATGTCTAAATCATCAAGTAGACGAGATCATCTGATGTTGGAGCTTGACATCAAACAATCGTTGGACATCAACACGACTTTCATTTTCAACAGTAACATGACGCCTGAGGGAGGTTGGATTAGTGCAGTGTCTTCCTGATGTGCTTTTTGGGGAGGAACGTTTGAGTCTATCGTCACATTCTGATCTAATCATTTTATTATGAATGTTATTTTCAGTTGGGATCTGCTCTTGCTGATAGAGGACTCACAGATGTGACACTGTAGCGAGAAAACATGGTTTAACGTCACATATTGTGTCATTTTGCTGGAACTATGCATACTGTCATTTTGCTGGAAAACAATGTCAAAATGATGGTTTTTAATGAGTAAAACCTATGAAGCACCATACAATTTACAGAGAAAAACAACTGCGTCTGTGTCTGTGTTGCTAAATATCCAGCTTGTTTTTAAGAATTTTGAGAGTAGTCTAAAATTCTATTGAAATTCTGAGCCTGTTGATCGCCAACTAGTAATGAAATCATCACAGATCCATTGATTTTGTTTGGATTTTTATAATTTTTTCTGTGTAATGAGTATAGTGTTTGGTGAAAAGAATGGCATATTGCCTGATGTCATAACTTAAGGGAATAGTTGATTGCCAATGAAGTAAAGATGAAAATAGTGGAAAATAAGTGAAAAAATGCCAGTTTTTTGCATTAAATTGATGCGAAATCATGTAGAAATGTGTTTTATGAATTATTTTTTCAGTGGATGTTGTCCGCACATGTGTTCTGTGTATCTGGAATGCATTTATTGAGAACCTACCCAACCCACTAAGAATTTGATGAAAAAAATAATTTTTCACATTTTTCTGATAAAAAATAGTGCTTACACTAAAATGGCCAAAAAAAATTTTCGCGATATTTCCGGCAGAGCAGACCCTCCAATTATTTGTTCTTAGGGTCAAAGTTAACAGAAAAAACACAAATAAAAAGTATGGCAGACCATGTCAGGTTCAACCCATTTTTGAGACTTTGGCTCCCTGACTATAATGGCAAAAAAATGAGTTTGTAATCTAACAAGAAGAAGAATATCCTTGTATCGCGCTGATTTGCGCAGGCTTGAGAAATGCAATGTAGCTTTTGCTCGCGCTACACCGCTACTTGCTGCAAAAAAGTAGTTAGCTACTGGAAAAGTTTAAAAAGCAACTGAGCTGCTGCCAAGCTACTGAAAAATGTAGTTAAGTTAGTAGCGTCGCTACTTGTAGAATAAAAAGTGATAACGCAACGCCACTTTTGCGTTTTCTCTTCAAAATCATTTCTTTGTAAACATAGCCTAAACTCCTGTCATGATTCAAAAGTCAAAATAAAGTTCTGAAAGGTCGTAACTTTTTGATGGTCTCGGACATTGAGGACCAGACAAGACCATAACTGTGAAAATATCACTAATTTGCCAGTACATTGACTGATTTTTTTGTTAACATCCTTGCTTTTATTGTATGTAAAACGTACTGATTCAAATCCAAGCAACAACGTAACTCATTGGTACGGAAGCCCTGAACCGCAACCTAAAAAAAAAAAAAGTCAGTAAAAAAAAAAACAATCTAGCATTTCGAGATTAAAGTCGAAATGTTTCGAGATTAAAGTCGAAACATTGTGCATTCATAACAGTGCGCGTCCACTGGCTCAGAGTGTGTGTGTGAACTGCCATGGATAAACACAAAATAGTAGCTTTTCACTTTTATCTGGGCTTTCAACAAAATTCTACACACGTCACACGTGTTAGCGGCAGTGTTTCTGAGGTGTTTTCGTGCTCGTCTAGTCAACACTATCTGGGTCGAGAACACAACAGTAACTGTTCGGTCTCCCTCTTCACCGTAAATACGCTCTGGATACATTTTAAGTGCATCATTCTGTATCCAATCATTTGGCCGGATCTTGT